AGTAGATATCATTGGATAGTTTTCAGAGAATTTGGAAAGATGATTTCTGCAGACAATCCCAGAAAATTCAGGTTCTTGCTCCTGTGATATTTCCATTCTGCATGTTGGAGTTGGAGAACAGAAGATGTGATCTAATGGACTGTGTGCACTGATCTGCTTTGTCCAATAGTAAACCTAATTGTGCCAGACAGCAGATAATGGAATGTGCATGACCAGTTTTGTTTGGGAACTCTGAAGTCATAAAGTGGGAATGTTTGGGTGATGATAAGTTAGTTAAAGCGAAGATAATGCAACACTCAATAGGAGATGGAGATCTTAAAGATCAGTATATGTTATTCACTTATTACCTGAAATTTCCTCCATGAGTTCAAAGTTTCATGGAAATAAAAAAGTAAATTAGTTAGAAAATTTTTCTTCATTACCACAGAGATCATTAATCTTTCTTCACTTCTAAATAAGGTCTGTTTATTAATATAAGTCACGATAAACTCCTTAAGAGGGAGTTTTAGGGAATGTAAGGGATCTCATTTTTCGATGCTTTAATCGTGGCACCATTCTTCCTGCATTCATACATATTTGCTTTGTAAGTTAAACAAATTGGGTCAGGAAGAGAACAATAAACCAGTGTAATGGCTAGAGAATCAAAAATGAACTGGCATCAGGTCAGCAATTTAATTTAGTGAACTTTACTGGGTCATCTTGTGTCGTGCTTAAAGAGCAAGTCACCCCCTACCAGAGTCTAACTCCACTCCCACTTCATGTTTGAAAAATGCAACAAATGCTGTTGCCTGGCAGACCAAGAGGGCAGAGCTGCTAACAAATACACACACACACACACAGGCTCACAACAGGATTGTGACATCATAATGCACCAGTTTACATCATAGCATACCTCTTAGCCAATAGCAGTGGCAGATTTAAATTAAAATACAGTGCAGAGTTTTTACCTGACAATGGCACAACACTGCCAGTTTGAGGCAGAATATTTAAATTTTAACTAAGATGCACTGAAGTGCCAAATTATTGATGACACGTGTCTGCAGCACAATTAGACACTCGTTTATTTAGTTTATCAGCAAAAAAAAGTTGATTTGGGGGTAACTTGCTCTTTAAGAACTCTTGATTTTGTTGAGTCTTAACAGTTCAATGCGATTCATCAAGGCCCTTTTCACTCTGGAATGGTGACTTTCAACTCCAAATCTCTATTGTTGGCTTACTCTCTCTGGTTTTAAATCAGCCCTGCCACAGTATGGCCTCAGCTATTTGCAGAAACAGAGTAAAGAACCACTACCATCAGGAGCCAGAGGTTCAGCAATTGAAAATACTTTTATTTATTTAATTTAGGGAGTGACAAATAATATAAAAAAGGTAAACGATAAAGTAACTAGATTATGCCATGGTTATTTTTATGGGATTTGAGCTCTGGAAGTCTTGCATTTGCACATTCTTGGTCTTTAGTTATAAAACTGATCTGTTTTATATTTTGTACCTATTAGAGTTGTGGTTAAAGTAAACCCCTTGGCACATAAAAGAGGGTTTGATGTTAATAAATGACATCATCAGTCAGCAGGACTATAGTCCTGATGTAATATACTGGAGAACAGGCACGTACACACATTCAGAGATAGCGTAATTAGCTGTTGGGGGACGATTGCTGCACAGCCCGCCCCTCTTTTCCCAAGATAAACGCAGAGCTGACCTGAAAGGAGATAAAGTACCTCCACACTCAGAAGAAGAATGCTGCCAAATTTAGGAAAGAAGAAATAAAACTGCAGGAAATGATTTTGCGGACAAGCTCGTCATTCATAAAAACCATAAAGAGACAAAATGTCTCTTTTGGAGTTAATTCCAGACAGCCAGGAGTTGTGGTCCCATCTGCTAATGAATCTGTCTGAATCCATCAGTCTGCTCACCAGACAAACGCATCGACTGGCCCGGAGCAGAGGTTAGTGCTAGCCTGACTTTGCTGCTTTATGTTCTCACATTCGTTTTTGGTGTCTGCAGCTTCGTGTATCTGAGTTTTCTTATTAAATCTGTGTCGGGACCACGGGACAGGATTTCCTGCTATCAGTTAGATTCCCCTGCTGCGTTTCATCCCCTCATTATCAGCCCACAAGAACAAACTCCTGCTGATTGTAGGCTGTAGCTCTGCTAGTTCATGTTGTTTTTGGGGAAATAAAACAAAATTTGCATTCAGTAAATTAGATTTGCAACTGATTATTTTGTAAAAGCACACAAAGTCAAACAAATCCAGCTTAGAAGGTTCAGATTTACAGATTATCTTGGAAACATCTGACTGCTGAGTTCAGCAGAGCAGGACGAGGCCTCTGTGTGTCTGAGTGTTGTAACTGATTACCTGATTTAGCACTAAGTGCTAACTTTACCTCATGACCCGCTCTTTCAATAATTAGATGGTTGACAGATAAGCAGACAAGCACAAAGTCAAAAAAACTCACTGAAAAGGTTGAACCGTCATGTCTGCCCGTCTTTTCTGCTCTCGTCCACCAATTCTAAAATCTACGGATCATAAAGTCCCCCGGGCCAACAAAGGTGAGCATTTTCTTTAGATACACGTTCAGGAAAGAGTGTAGGTCACTTAAACTGATGAGTGTCTGTGCTTGTGAAGCTGGTCAAACTAAACCAGGTGTCTGGTTCTGGTTAGTGGACATCGCAGATTTTCTGTTGGAAATTACAGAAGGTGATCTAAATATTTGTCTTTACTTCAAACAGCAATCACTCTTAAAATAGTGCTTTAAAGTATGAGCAGCTGCTTATGAATGAATGAAATCTTTATTTTGAACATAATAATAATAATAATAATAACAATAAAAACAATAATAATAACAAAGCTATTGTAGACATTAGAAATAAAATCACACTGATAATCACACAAAAAATTTAATTATCATACTCTGTTTGAAAAGGAGTAAGAGGAAGCTGGTGCTTATTAAATCCTACCCCCCTTTGACACGTAAAACATAATACAGTGAACTAATGTGCAAAATAAAATAAATAAATAAGTAAATCATCAAACTTTATTCCGGGCCTTTAAGGTCCATAATGGGAAGGATAACACAGTGAACTGTAAAAACAGGCAGGACATGGTAAAGTAATAAAAAAATAGAAAATAGTAGTAATAACTTATAGTAGAAAAATATAAATAAAAAAACCCTATGCACTTGTTGAAGTGCTGGCATTTTATTACACTGTAAAATCTGTTGTTTTAACTAGTGATGCACTGATGAAATTTTTGGGACGATACCAATTTCCGATATTAACTCATTCGCCGCCAGCCGTTTCCTGATCGCTAAAGCCATTCGCTGCCAGCGTTTCTCACCATTTTTACTGTTTTTTTAAGAGTCACAGAACGTTGCACGCTAGGATGATGTTGATGCCAAAACAACCAAAACAAAGCGGAGACTGACCTCTTACATCAGGAAGAATCCACGCGTTTTGAGCGTTATCCGTTCTTTCATAATCCGTTGTTGAATTGTGATTGGCAGAAGCTTTTCTGGTTCGTGCCTCACTTTTTTTTTACAGCAGCGGCTCTAAACGATCTCCTAACACATGGATTTTCTGCTTCCTGATCACGTGACGTGTGACATATGCAGATGAAGATCGGCTTTAGAGCTGAGACGTTTGTTCTCACGGTGCGGGGGCTCGTTCCGACGCCCACACAGTAAAAACATATGTAAATGACGACTTTAGTCGTCAGTGGCAGTGAATGAGTTAAGATCACAGTTATGGCCGATAACCAATTTTGCTGATACTGATATACTGACATTAATGCTTCTAAAATCAGCAGATTTTGTATAGAATTTAATCATTAAAGCTGAATGTCCGCTATTATGTACCCACACCACACATATTTACGGTGATGATTTCATTTACTGTTCACATGACTAAGCAATTACACATCACCCCCACCCTCTGAATCAGGCAAACAAATGGAGACAAGATGGAAAAAATATCGGTTGTTAATATCGGCCCGGTTTCATTTATAGAACTGAAACCGATATGTTAAAAAATGACTAAAATGATCGGCCGATACCAATATTGATGCCAATACGTTGTTCATCCCTAGTTTTAACTACAAATACTAATTAAAACTGAGAAACTGTGTAGTACTTGTTCTTTCTGGAATGTGATTGGTCGCTCTGAGTTGCATCCGAATGCTGAACGTGAAATTTTCTTCCACCGCTATCTCCTGCATTGGCTCAGAAAGCCGGTTTCTTCTATGTCCCAGGGAACGTTAGTGTTCATGGCCCCACCCTATTGTGGCAACGTCTCGGCCTGTTGAAGCTAACCCTAACCAACTCTGCAACATGAGGTGACATGTTCAGGTTTGCATTAATGCAACGTTTATTTACTCAAGAACGACGACCGAACGGAGGCAGCGGAAGAGTCTCGTTGCTTTTAGCCAATCGGTGGCAAGATGTTTGCATATCATGAATGTAGAAGTATTAAGACTCGTAATCCTATTGTTTTGGTTTGAGTTGGAGCCAGCCCATAAAACAGTGACTGTCATTGGCTCCGCCCACCTGCCCGGCAGTCTCGGGTGCATCTGTTTTCAGTGAAATTGTCAGTTAATCAAAATAACTTTACAAATTATTAGACAAACCTAAATGGAGCATTAAAATTAGTTGATAAAAACAGTTTTACAGTGTAAGAGAGCATCACCGTCGTTTTTATCACTCTGAATTTGGACAGGCAGTCAGAAAGTTGAAACAGTCTCCACTCAATCCTCGTAAAGAGAGGAGTGGAGGAAACGGGAGTGGTGTAATTACACAAGCCATCTTGACAGCTGTTTGGTGAGCAACAGTCACAGAAAGGGAGGGTTTGGAGATGAGAGCTGGACGAGGCAGGTGATGCTTCTGTCTCTACCTGAGGAGGTGAGGATGGAGACGGAGGATGTGCAGGAAGGACCGGTAAAAGCCCAAACCAGGGAGGAGAGGTCTGCTTGTATCTCCGTGGAGGAGATGGAGAGCTACTACAGATACGCCCACTGCTGCAAGCTGCTGCAGAGTAAGTGTGTGTGTGTGTGTGTGTGTGTGTGTGTGTGTGTGTGTGTGTGTGTGTCACCATGTTGCTGTCAGGTACAGCTGGATGTGATCAGATGAAATTCTGCATCTTTTATATGATTTAGCTGATGAAGTTCCAACAGAAGCACCTCATGTTCTGGAAATATTTCATTTCCTTTGTTTTTATTTTAAAATCACACAAGTGGAAATTTCTCTGGAACATTTTTGCTGACTTTCAGGTAAAAATCCAGATGACTTCATTTCTCTCACTTTCATTTCCCACGAAACATCTGCGGGTCAGATCAGTCTTCCGATGAATTTTGTTGCTATTCTGGTTAAAATCCATTTCTAGGCTCCCGTGAGGCACCCACAAACAAACTCACGTGTGTTTGTCGTCTTAAGCCCTTAAGTCCATGTGTTTTCTTTTGGTTTCTGTCATGTGAACTTATTTTCAGGGCATCATAAAAAATACCAATGCTTTTTAAGTGTTTGACCTTTTCTGTGCAAACATAGCTTCACTTTACTGTCTCTTCCATGGAGATACCAGTTATCCACCAGCTGGCAATCTTCCTGTTTGTGCACTCAGCTGAATTGTTCCAGAAAACTTTAATTCCTTTTAAATTTATGAATAATTAATTTTTAATATTCAAACAAGGAAAGCATCATTCAGGGGCTAGTAGTACTGCACTACTACATCCTTGTTTACCCAGGGTGGTTCAGGTTTTTCCTGGTAGGCTGTGTGTGTCACCAAAGAATAATAGGTGTGTGTTTGCATTGACAAAATGCAGGATTTGACTTTTATTAATCAGACCTGATTAATTTCCAGAGTATTCAAGTAACAAAGTGAATCGTTTGATGTCTATTTCCAGTCGGAAAAGGTTCAGATCCATTTCCTGTGAGCTTTGGTCTTTATTTAGACATGAAATGTGTATTTTTAGCAACGTCTAATCTGTGCCACAAAGACTGCTGTGTGTTTGTCTTGTTGGAGTTGCTGCATCATCTCATGTTTTCTTCTCATCTTTGCACGGGAATGATAATGTTATTGGAAGATTTTCTTTGCATTAGACTCCAGAAAATCAAAGTTCTGGAAAGATGCTCATGTGGCAAAGACATAAAGAACAAAATGTCTTTTTCCACTTATGGACCTTCCAGGTCATTTTACCGGACCTTCATGGCATGTGCATTTCGCCGTTTCATTGGGCCGACCCGACAGGACCCTTTGCTGAGCCATTTTAGGGACCAACCAATGCAAACCTCGTTGTTAACTCATGCTGATTGGTTGATATTTGGAAATTAAATCTGCAGATGTCGCCAACTAACTGGCATTTGTAAAACTGTAAGAGCTGGTGAAGAACATAAGCAGTGTTGACGCTGATTTAAAAATGCCATTTTTTAACTCCAAACACCATAAAACGCAGTGGAAATCTCCCCACAACTAGAACTGGTCGCTTAATAGAATTTTAGTAACAATTACGATCTACGTTTTCAACAACCATTAATAAAGACCCGATTATTTGCTCCTCTTTCGCAGATTACTCTGCTCTGAGTTTAAAATTTAGCGCACCTCCCATTACAGTGTTGCCCACTTTGCAACTTTGTCACTATTTCTAATGGCTTTCTAGAACCCCTTAAAGACAATTTTTTTCCAAAAATGCGCCAAGTGAACAACCAAGTGCTATATCTTATGACCCTTAGCTACCTTCCATTGCTCCTTACGGTTGGCAAAAACACACACCCTCCGTAAGGTCCGGTAGCTTGCCAGTTGCTTCCGACAGCTTCTGAAATTTGCAACACACCAGGATCTCACCTGCTCCAAACAGCAGAAACATGGATATCAGGAGTCCAAATATCTTCTACGTCCTCCAAGAACAGCAGCGACAGACACAGGATCTTCCACTCGCCCCAGGGATCCATCATGCATCCAACTGAGCGTGTTCCATCGGGGCAGAAAGGATCCACTTTAGCCATTCTTTGGGTTGAGAAAATGTTGACAAATTGCTTTCAGAGACAAGCTGACCAGATCTATGATGCCATAATCGAGCAGCCGAACCCATAATTCATGCTACTTTGTGGTCTCCTAAAGTGGCCCGGGAAAAACGCACCGTTACGTGAAACAGCTGCGCTCCCCGTCCCTAGAATTCCATAAACCACGGCATACCGTGAAAGAATAAAATGTAAATTTTATTAATGTCCATGGACACCTTTAGGTGCTGATCTGCTGAAATGGTCGTGATATGCTGACATCAGAAATGTCTGCTGGACCTCTATTGACCGATTCGGTGAATTAACCAGAATTCGAGTCGCTGCCATTACGACGGTAACAGTTCCCAGTCAGACAGCTGCAAGGGCTGTGCACGAAGCGGGCTTTAGAAAACAAGAAGCAGGAATTGGAAGTTTATTTTGTGAATAAGTCTAGGAAGGCTGAAATGACACCGTCATCAGATGACCGTCTGCACTTTGCACAGGAGCACTGTGGTGTGGCTCTCTCCATGCCACGCAGTCACACAACGACCTGGCAGACCCAGCCTCACTTTGACCTCCATTCAGGGACCTGCTGTTTTTCTCGTCATCGGATGCCAGCCGTTCAATAAAAGATTTTTGAATAGCATGTTGATAGCCTTCATCTGGAAGGTCAGCCCGAGGCAGCTTTAGTTATGGTGTCTCAAGGTGTTGTTCACAAGTGATTGATCGAGGACCGAAAGGCATTTGGATCAATGCAGTGTTCAGTGAACTTTACTGGTTTGTGATAAGAGTTGGGCCAAAGGAGTAATGTCCATATACATTCCTACTTTGAAGATATCACATGCTAATCAGAAATTAATTTCATCCATGAAGCTTAGGACTCTGATGGTTCACCTAAATAAAACCCCTAAGCAGCCTGCCCGTCCGCCCGAGGTCACAAACAGAACCACGGGTTATTTTAACAAATGCGTCCAGATCCTTTTTGAAAAACTGCATGCACGTGACGTGAAATACATCTCATGTTGTTTCTTGTGATGGTCAGCTGTTGGTGTCGTCCTGCGGTGTTTCCCTAAAACATCCGATGTGGCAGAATTGTTTCTTCCCCTTTGGAGGCTGACCTTCCTCTTTCATTGGTCATCTCATGATTCTTGAAATTTGTCTCCTCATTTATGAGAAAATCGTTCTTTCTCATTACATCTTTAAGTTACTGAGTGAATGACTTTTCCCTTTAAAAAATAACTAATTTCCTCATTTTCCCACATTTTCTATTGAGCAAAGAATGCACCAGTGTTTTAACTGACTACAGTGTTTGAACCCAAAATAAAGAAAGCTATAAAAAAGATTTGGCTGTATTTAATCCAATACATTTCTGTTCACAGTGCTCAATTAGAAGACTGTGACACTGATTTTGGCCAATATTGTGTTCACAGCTTCATGTTGGGCAGAAAGAGACATTGTTTAGAAATATGCTGCCGTGTTATATCAGAAGAGCATGTTGCTAATTAGTCTTATTGGGTTTTACCTAATCAAGGAGACCTCACCTCACCACACATCTAGATGCAACATAAGTAGATATATGTCATTTCTTTTGAAGTTTGTTTTAGTGGTGTAAAGAAAATTTTGGCTGGCTCAGCCATATTGTAAGGAGAAACTGTCTTTACTCAGTTATATTGTTAAGAAGACTCAAAGGTTGTTTTCATCGATAAACTGACGATAATATCTGTGTGTCTGTGTTTCAGTTCAATGAGGAAACCAGTTTGACAATTAAAGGTTTTAATTCTTCAAATTAAACTAATGATTTTGAAATTGACAAACAGGAAATAACAATCAACATTGGCAACTTGTGGGACAATCTTCAACAGTTGATATGCTGTTCTTGCTCAAATAGACCTTCTGTTGGTGAATGAAGATTGAGAGTAATAGGATGTGGTTATGGATGCGTGTGTGTGCAAAGTGTCGTGAGAATTGAACATGAGGTGAGATGAATGCGTGTGTGCATCTGATTTTGCTTCAGGAAGAAACAGGTGTCTGAGTGAAGTGATGGTTTGGATAAACTTAGGCCTTATCAGAGAACTGCATCAAATGCTAAACACCGTGCTCTGTCTCACCGAACTCTTGTGGACCCTCTTTCGGATCCGGGCCGTGGAGGATGTTATGGTTCATCCAGATGACACTGGTGGCTGACAGGAGAGACGTAGGTGTCGAACGGAACCGTTCCAGAGTTGCCCTCGGTACACGTTGATGGTAAAGCGTTTTGTCGATGCGCTTTCTTAAGTTAATTCACTCAGAAATCAAAAGACTCTGTAATGAGTCTGCGTTAGAAGTTGCGATTCAGCTATTCTGCCTGGTTTGGCAGGAACAGCGTGAGAGAGGGGGGGAAGAAACGAGCCAACCGGCTCCCCCCCCTTTCAGCGGTTGTTCACACGTCCTCTCTCTTTCGTTGTCAAGCACGAACTGAAATCATAAGACTGAAACTTACCAAAAACCTTTCTCTTCTCAAAGCAAACGTGTGCGTCAGCAAATGTGTTTTGGAGTTTAACTGTGAGAATCTGTGTGTGGGTGTGTGTGCTTGAGTGTGTGTGAAGGTCAGCAACAAACACTCTCAACATTATCTAATTATGGATTCATTAAATCTCTTATAATTACCCCAAAGCATAATAGTCATTCATTTGATTAAAACACATTTATAATGAGCAAATTGATGATTAAACTTTTAACATTCAAAACAAGAAAAGGAAGCTTAAACTTTATGTTTTGACTTGTTATGACTACTTGTCCATGAGAACTCCTTCTTCTGGTACCGCAGGTGGCAGATGTTATGGTTTCCTCCCAGACTCGCTGGCGTTCAGGTCTTAATCTGTGGGTGAAAGTTCTCAATGACCCAGCTTTGACCCAGCTGAGTCCAACACCACCTTTGTGAAAGAAAACCCATATTTCCTCACGTTACAGTGGAAATGTTTTAAACGTCACATCTGTAGTTGAATACATAAATAAACATTAGCTCTGATTGGAGTCAACAAGCTAATGGCTAAGCTAAACAAGGCTAGTCACAAAATAACTGTCTTAAAACTATTCTCAGCTCAGAATATACATTGGTAATACAAAACCTATTCTGGTAACTTATACTTTGTCATAGGTTTTACATTAAGTGGATATTTGGGCTCATATTATGACCAGAAGTGGTACAGCCTGCTAGTTAGCGCTGTTGCTAAATGCTGGTTCTCAGTCATCCAGGTCATGGTGATCCAAAGGGTTCAAATGAAAGCTTTAAACCTGATTCCTAAACAGTTTCAGTCTAGGTCACACCTCTGCATTTAATTAAAACAAGCATTCTAACACAATGGGCCCTAACAACATCAATGACTCCTCAGGGGGTAGGGAGGATGGGGTATTCACAGGTAGTTTCAGCTCGTTAAGAAACAGCAGACAGCTACAGTTTATAAGCAAGACTTTCCCCTTCTCCACTTAGAATTATCAAAGCTCCTCGGATGAAAAGCGAAATGTCATCACCGATACCGATACTGGTATCGGTAAAATTTCTTGGATATTGGTAAAAGTTAACCAATACCTAAACTCTAGGATTAGAAAAGCCTGACAGATCTACACTGTCACTTAAAAATCATGGACTCATCTTGACTCCCGATGGGGAAGCTAACCATTAGCATTAGCAACTCCACCACACAGCAGAACTCCTCCAGGCTTGTGTTAATTGTGGAGATAAAACATCAACATTGCAGAGCAAATGAGTCACGTTTCCATTAGCCAATCAGAGGAGAGATGTCCAAATATCAAGCAATAAGACTCCTAATCCCACCATCTGAAGCTACTTTCTCCCTCAGCTGACTCCTGCGTTCTCAAAAAGGCAGACTGGGGCTTTCCCCCTAGAGAACGACTTACACAACGTTCATTACTACTAGTGACCATTCTAAATGTTTTGAAAATATGAGTAAATTTAAGACGTTCTCACCTTCTCAGACTAGCTATTAGCATATCAATCTGGTCAGACTAATCTTTATTCTCCAAACTGAGGTTGTTCAAAGAGCTATCAGACAGGTAAGATCCTACCTGATCACCGAAGTGTCCCTTTTTCTTAGTAAGACAACTAAATTAATCTAGTTAAATACTGATTCTCAAGGTGTAATTTAGACACTAATTAACTTGAAGAGGAGGTCAGATCATACTTTATGTTGCTTAATCTCGATTAGCACCTCACGAAGAATAAACATTAGACACATTTCTTTAAAAAAATCTCCCAAAAATGTATTAATCATGATTTTTTTTGTCTAAGAATGCAGCTGAAAACGAGCCTTTAGAGCCAGGGGCGTGTCCAGGGAGTGGCCTGGGGTAGCACATGCCACCCTTGGAATCTGATTGGCCACCCCAAGTGCCACCACACTAATTTACCTTTAAATAGGCTTTTCATTGTCTACAAAAGGCTTGGGGGTAAAACAAAAAAGCACAACCATTGGTGCTACCCATACACAAAGTTGTGCTTCACCTGGGCCACCTCATTTTAAAAGATCAGGGGCCTCATTTATCAAGCTTGCTTATGCACAAAACGGGGTCGGAAAACTGCATAAGCAACTTTCCACCCAAACTTTGGGATTTGTGAAAGAAAACTTAGCGGAAAAATGTGCGCAACTTTAAGTTGACTAAGGACCTGGCTTACACACATGTTGGACATGGAGAGCACCTGTAGTGCTGCTGCTGAGAAGGATACAATTATGAAATCCTGCAGCATTATCACTTGTATTGCTTCGTTTTTACACAGAACAAGACCCCCCCCACACACACGCACGCACGCACGCACGGACACACACACACACACACACACACACACACACACACACACACACACACACACACAGCCTGAAGCCAGAATACGGAATGCAGAAATCAGCAGGGGGACAGATTGAGACAGAATGTCATGTGTCTGGGACCGTGTGTGTGTGTCCTGTCACAGTGACCCGATTGATGATGCGCCCTGGCTACTTGAACAAGGAAGATCTCTGTTTGGCTGACTGGTTAACGCGCGTGACTATCACCTGGTAGTCTGGGGATCGACTCCTGATTGGATCTTTTTTTTTATGTCCGCCACAGATCTCTCTGAAGAACTCAGCATTGACGGCTTCAGCAACGCTGTGCCACTCCGGATTTTCTCTTATTTGTTTTGCAAAAGCACTTCCTTTCATTTCTCCACCTCACCCACAAGTACCTGAATTTCTGCTTGTGAAATAGCGCTTCCTTGATCTGCGGTCGTGATCGAAATGCTGCAACAAGCCGGTTTATGTATTTGCATGAGATCCACAAGGCACTTTGCATGGACTATTTATGGCAGTAAGTGGTCGTGGTGAGGGCGGGATGGGACTAAAAAGCAGCTGAGAAACATTCTCGTTAGATTGCGTGCAGCTGTGCGTACTCCATGTTTGATAGATCACAAACCTACTTGGCGTAAGTACTTTTTTTTTTTTGCTGAGCTTAAGTACGGTTTTAATAAGGATTCTACACAATATTTGATAAATGAGACCCCTGGACATGCCACCGTTTAAAGCCAAATCGTAACATGATGATGAAGTGAACTAATTTAAATGAAAATGTCAGAATGAAGCTCTAAAAGTGTATTGTGCTCATTTAGGGGGGATCGGTTTCATCAGCGTCTCTTTGTGACCATTTAAAACTGCTGATGTTTTTATATAGACGGCATAAATATCTAGTCGTTTCAGCTGCTTTTTTGTTGAGTCGGTGTGAAATTTAAGGAGTCAAGCGGTCAAATGTGCTGAGGTGGAAACAGAAAATCACCCCATAATGACTCCATGCCATCATATCGTTCCATCTTTAAACTTTAAGATCCTTAGTTTTTAGTGAAGTGTCACTATTTCTGTGTCTAGAAAACAGCACCAAGTTATTGACCCTTTGGCCTAATGACACCTTTTGGTTCCCCTACTTGAGCTCTTGTTGAGTTCTGGCCTGTGAGTCATTTCTCAAGTGGCGTCTTCCTGTTTATTTATCCTGCAGGCCCATGTTGTTTGATGGTAGGGCGGAAAGAATCAGCAGTGTTTCTACTTCACAGACAATTTTCAAATGTAGCTGTGAGCATTTTCTACCTGCAGTCTGCATCACATCCGTCGTGGATGTAAACAGGTTTCCCTGTCCACGTACAAAAGTCTGCTTCGCATCCCATCAAGGCCTCTATACTGTTAAACACTGCCTAGTCCTCAAAAATATGTCATCACCTGAATTTATGATCTGATGCTGCAGCAGTTGGTGGCCTCAGCTCAGGTGCAAAACCACTGCTGCCACCATTTTGAATTTTTTTTAAATGTTATAAATAAGAACCCACTGGGTGGGACAATCCCCAGCAGTAGGTTTAATCTCTTTCAGACAGGAAGAGAATGTATTTACAGGAAGAAAACAGTTTTATAAAATGGTCAAGCATCTACTCTTAATTACAATTTTCTTGAGACGTGTCACTAAATCTTATTTTTCTACAAGTTAAAATTTTTGACAAAAATCAGATAAATTATACCTTTTTTGGGCTATTTGGTAAAAAAAACAACAACTTTAATTTAAGTATTTTTATTGGCTCCTATTGTTGTCTTTTAAAAAGAAAAGATTATTTAGCAAGCAATTATTTTCTTTTGTCATTAAAGAGGTCCTTCAGTCATATTTTTACACATTAGCAGTGGTCTCTAGTAGTGGTCTGGGGGAAAAAAAACTCTGGTGCGCCTGTTGGAGGATGTAGACTTCAGCTGGAGGAGAAAGTAGGATTTGGAGTCTTACTTCCTGATATCTGGACATCTCTCCTCTGATTGGCTAACAGCAACAGGACTCTACCACTGACTTTGTCTGCTCTGCAGCCTGGAGGAGTTCTGCTGTGTGGTGGAGTTGCTAACCGCCACCAGCAAGGTGGGTTTCGCGTCTTGCTGAAGGACACAACGGCTGCGACACACCGCGCTGGGCTCGAACCTGCAACCCTCCAGGCATGGGGAGGTCACTTCTCTACACGTTAGAAAGAGAGGAACAGTAGCTCACAGAAAACGTTTTTCTGATACTTTTAGTCTGATTAATATTCATTCTGAAATTAAATGTGTGAATTTGGGATTTGTTGGACTAGATTAAAATTCTAGAATTTAAAGAGCAAGTCACCCCCTACCAGAGTATTACTCCTCTCCCACTTCCTGTTTGAAAAATACAACAAATGCTGTTGCCTAGCAGACCGAGAGGGCGGAGCCGCTAACAAATGTGCACACACACACACAGGCTCACATTGACATTGTGACATCATATGGTACCAGCTAACGTTTAGGGTACCTCTTAGCCAACAGCGATGGCAGATTTAAATTCAAATGCAGTGCAGAGTTTTTACCTGACAACAGCAGAACACTGACAGTTTTAGGCAGAAAATTTAAATTTGAACTAAAATGCACTAAAGTGCAAAACTATTGACTACACGTGTCTGCAGCACGATTAGACACGCATTTATATAGTTTATCAGAAAAAAAAGTTGATTTGAGGGTGACTTGCTCTTTAATCAGGAAGAGGATCGACGTTTTCCTCCTCGGTTAAATGAAATATGCAGCTTTTCCCCTTCACTAAGTAACCTAAAGTAGTGTGAAAGCAGCTGCTTCTGCTGCAGGACAAATCTCCGGAGAAGGGAAGTGAGCGGAAACGGAAATCCTCTGGTTTTTCCTGTTAGAAAAGTTCATCTGAGTGATATTTCATATCATTATTTCATATTCTTCTCTTCAGTTCCTCTGACTTCTTTCATTTCTTGACAACATGATCTCAGACAAGAGATTCAGCTTTGAATTTAGGCTAAGCCAATCTCTTAATCTCACACAGACATCCCTAATCGAATTCTGCCTGTTTAGAATAAAGTTTATTTTTACAGAATTAGATGTTTCTCACTAGAAAATATAATTTTATGCGATAGTGTCTGATCAGGGACATGATCATCAGCTCCAGATGCGTGCTGGGTGTGCAGAAGCCGATTGAAACAGTGAAACGGCTATCCTGGAATAAGCCTTTGTTGCATTCGTGCGTCTGCACGTGTAAGCACGGATTATCCTCTTTGCCCCGGGCAGCAGAGGAGTCCTGGAGATAAAGATCTGATCAAAAATCATTTATAGAAATGTTTAGGTTGTTATTATTATTATTATCACACTTTACTGAAAAAGAAACTCAAAAAGTTGCTTCATTCTCTTAAAATGTCAGTGTTGGCCCACAGAAAGAGCATGCATTGTTTTCTTTCTTTTTGTATTTAGTGATCTGAAGTTCTGCTGTGATATTCAGCTGAATGTGGCACACTGGGTCCCTCTGCTGTCTTCAGCGGGAATTTGTTAGTGCTGACGTGCAGAATGAAGCAGAAGACAACCAGAAACTCGTTAACTCATGTGAACCCAGTAATGGATGTCAGAAACCTGCAGAAATGTAAGATTTTTCTTGTTAATTGATGTTGATTGATGAACCGGAATTGGCCAAAATCACTATCAAAGCTTTAGAAAAATTGGAAATCGGTATTGGCCTTCAAAAGTAGAATCGGGGCATTTTTTGCTTGATTTTTTTGCAGCTTTAACTGTGTTTTAGGAGATTAACGAGGGAAAGTGAACGATTATTTACGTCTATATTTTTACTGTCACTTTAAAATCAATAAGCTCCAACATATGAGAAAATATTTAGCCAAATGGAAGTCCTTTATTTACAGATAGTTATAAAAGATGCAGATGGGGTCATTTTTAATACTTAGTTTGGTTTAAATCATTCCAAATGCATGTTGTGTTGTCTGTGGAACAAGTGTGACATGTGAAACCAGAGGCGGACCATCTGAATCTCCACCCCTCCTCCTCCTGCTGGCTGGCAGGATATGTGTGTGTGTGAGAGAGGGAGAAAGTGTGTGTGTGTGTGTGGCTGTGCAGTGACAGCTCAATGAGCAGCTGAGGCCCTCGGCTGCAGCGGAATGGACTCCCTTAACTTCCACCGGGATGTTTTCTGACTCTTAGTGCTGCCGAATCTGTTTTAGCTGATTCTGTGTGTGTGTATGTGTGTGTGTGTGTGTGTGTGTGTGTGTGTGTGTGTGTGCGTGCGTGCGTGCGCTGTGGGCATGCATGCAGCTGCAAAACAATGGCTCTGAATCGAATGTCTCAACTGTGCCATGATATCACCAGGCTGTGGCTGCAGCTGAAGATGAGAACAGGTATTTAGTGATTTTGTTTCTCTGATAGCTGAAGCGTGTGAGACTTTAGCAGGTGTTAATATTTACATCCATGTGGTGCCGACTTTAACTACGTCTTTTAGAAGTTTGGACTATTCTGATGTATTATTCATGTCTTCTAATGTTTCCTAATACCTCCAGAGGCTGCAGTATTCATTAGCTGAAATTTAAAACGGCACCAAAGATGAGTTAGAGCTTCTGAATGGGGACGTTACAGCAGCTCGAGTCCAAGCCAGATGTAGGTTTTTAAAAATCAAGCAGAATCAGAAACATTTTCATCCGTTTAGAGCTTTTACTTTGAAAAATCTTTAAAGAAATGGAAGAATAGAAAATCTATTGACCCCCTGGTTGAAGGCATAAAACGACTGCAGAGAACAGCAGAAAACAAAGTTTGTACAAAAGTAAAAATGGCACCAAAATGAGAGGAGGGAAAAAAATCAGTCATCTTTAAAAAAAATTCTTTACAAAAAACAAATTTTCATTTCAGAAATATTAATTTAAAATGTTTACTTATATGTTTTTAATAATTGCTGGAGTCTATTTAATAAGCAATAAATAAATAAAATAAAAAAAAACTTCCAAAATGGAAAATGTTGCTATGTCAACTTTAATTATATTTTTCATGAACCCAATGTAGTTTCAAGCCCTTTTATTAATGTATTATGATATTTTCTCATTACTTGTGGTTTAAATATGGATAAAATAGACAATAAAAGAACTCATTTATGATTTCAAAAGAGAGATGTTACCCAGTTTTCCATCAGATTGGAGCTTATTGGTTGATTTATCAATGATGTTGTGTGGAAAAGTCCCCAAAGACATCAACAGCATCTCTAAAGTGGATTCACTAAACCTGAAATGAATCAGAATAATTGTGATAAACCACCAACTCTGACAAAGAAGTATAGATATACGATTTCCTGTACCTGTTACAGGAAGATGCTGTTCCCGCTGAAGGTGTCTGTGACCCGTCAGGGAGTTATTAAATCATGGAGTCGGAGCTTCGTCGGTACAGTACACACAGCAGCTCGCTGACGGCATGCTAATCACACTCAGCTCATTAACACACTGAGTGTGTTTCCACCCGTCGGTTGGGACTCAACCCACTTTTGAATGTTTGAACGTCAACATCTTGTCCTTTTTACCCCTTTTGGGTGAACTCCCTCTTTATTATTAGAGTGCTGGAGTCCACATAGAGTTAGTCCTGCTGTTCTTGGCTCTCTGGGAGGTGGGATGAGATCTGATGATCTGCAGAAACACAAAACACGATCTGTGATGTTCGGCTTTTTACAGACTCAAAATGAAAAGGTGATTCTCATTTTACAACATTTTTTTCAATGAAAATGACTCATTTGACAAAGAAGAGCAGATTTTGAGGAAACTTTACAATAACAAAAGATGGTTTTTTAAAACTTAATCTAGAGCCTTAAAGAGACAGTGTGTAGTTATTACCATTAACTCATTCGCTGCCAGCCGTTTCCTGATCGGTAAAGCCCATCGCTGCCAGCGTTTCTCACCGTTTTTACTGTTTTTTTTAAGAATCATAGAACGTTGCGCGCTAGGATGATGTCGACGCCAAAACAACCAAAAGAAAGCGGAGACTCACCTCTCACATCAGGAAGAATCCGCGTGTTTCGAGTGTTCTCCGTTCTTTCATAATCTGTTGTTGAATTGTGATTGGCAGAAGCTTTTCCGGTTTGCGCCTCACCTTTTTTTTTTTTACAGCAGCGGCCCAAAACGATCTCCTAACACATGGATTTTCTGCTTCCTGATCACGTGACGTATGACGTACGCGGAAGAAGATCGGCTTTAGAGCTGAGACGTTTGTTCTCACGGTGTGGACTTTAGTCGTCATTGGCAGTGAATGAGTTAATCTCTGAAAATATCCATCAAAATGTTGTTGAAAATGAACAAATTGATGTCCAGTTGTTGAAATATATTGGCAGCTTCGTGCCGTATAGCGTTAAAATCAGGTCAAAAGTACGTAGGGCGCGGGTCTGGCGTCTTTAGGGGACACCATGTTTCACCATTTTGGCAGTAAGAAACACAAATTTAATAACAAAACTGCTAAACTTTTTCCAAAACATGTAAAAGAACAGAATGGAAAAAGGGATGCAATGTATTTTGGTGGAGTAGTTTAACCGTAGTATGATGAAGTCATCAGCAGGCGCCGGACCTCGAACAGATCCGAGAACTACAGTGTCATAAAACTAGCATCGGCGTTGCGTTCGCTCGATGGGATTAACTCAAGGACCGCCGAGGTCGCATGCTTTCTGCTGCACAGGTGACAACATTTACCGTAATATATGTAAGATTTTGATACAATAATTTTAAAACAGGTGAATAAAAAGAATCATGGACTAAATTAACCTTGAATTTTTTGTTAAATCCAACCAATTTTGCATTATTATTTTGTTTTTAGTTTATTTTAGAGCAGGTTTTATTACATTTGAAGGCATTCTTTAGTATTTTGTCGACGAAATTGCGTTAAAAAATCTAAAATATATATCTAAAGACATCTCTCTACTCTAGCTTACAGAAAAATCAATCATAACATCATTGTGTAAAGAAAAATGTAGCGTTAGTGTTGCAGTTTTTTTTTATCCTAGCAGATGATGGTTTTCTGTCTGGACAAGTGGAAACACAGCCGTGGGATTATTTTCTTATTGGCTGCCTCCTTCTCTGTGTGTCATTTCCATCTTTTTATCCTCCTTCCTTTCATGTTCTTTGTTCGGTGTGGTGGAATAACTGGTGGCTTTGGCCAGAGGCAGACTAAAAAGGGCTGCTTTTCCTCTCAGCTGGGCTATTGCTGTCCTGTTTTTTTCCACTCTAATGACAGACGAAGAGGCGAACCTGTTTTTAAACCACAGAAATGCAGCACCAATCCACATGTGTTTTGTGGATTTGGAGAAGGCTTATGACCGTGTCCCCAGGGGCACCCTGTGGGGGACGCTCCAGGAGTATGGGGTGGGTGGCTTTCTGTAAAGGGCCATTCAGTCCCTTTACCAGAGGAGCGTGAGTTTGGTCCGCATAGCCGGTAGTAAGTCGAACCTGTTCCCGGTGAGGGTGGTCCTCCTAGCTTCATCCAGCTCTAACCTTCAGCTCTTGCTGGGTAGGTTCGCGGCCGAGTGTGAAGCGGCTAGGATGAGTATCAGCACCTCCAAATCTGAGACCATGGTTCTCGACCGGAAAAGGGTGGCTTGCCAACTCCGGGTCGGGAGAGAGGTCCTACCTCAAGTGGAGGAGTTTAAGTATCTCAGGGTCTTGTTCACGAGTGAGGGTAGGAGGGATCGGGAGATCGACAGGCAGATTGGTTCAGCGTCTGCAGTGATGCAATCACCAAACTACAAACACTTTGGTGGTTTTAATTCATGATCATCTGTCTCATGTGCTCAATGTCTTCTTTAAACCCGTTTTTCTTTATGATGTTCATTAAAATACAAAAATCCTAGCATCTGCGACTGCTTTTGATAGAAGAAAGAGACTTTGGGTAGCTTTTAGGTGTGTGAAATCAGTTTTATTTTCTAAGAATTAACAAAACGCGTGTAAGGTGAATGAAACTGAACAGAAACGTGTGTTTTATGACTGCAGGAAGTGCACATTATCATGTAGCAACAAGCTAATCGGCATCAGCAGACAATTAGAGACAGAAAATGATCTGATTTGTTTAATTACTTGATATAAAACTGAGAAAATGCCTGTTTAATTGATCATACGTGCAAAAAATTGCTGCTTTTGTCAACTCAGATGATTCAGTTTGCTAACTGGCCAATTCTACAAATGGTCTGAATGCGGTTTCGTTCTGTTGCTGGATGAACGAGGCTGGAGGGGAGTTGTGTTTGTTGTGACGGTGGGTCAGATTGTAGACAGAGGGACAGTAGTGTGTTGTTTATCCCTCATGATGATGCCACCGTCTATTTAGTAAATCAGGGCCTGGTGCCAGTGGCGCTCACAAAGTCATTGTTTTTTTCTATCAGTTCCTCGGCCTGCTTCAAGCCCGGATGACTTTATAAGAGGAAAGATGCTTTTGTGGAAAATCAGATTTAGAGAAATAAAACTGTAAAATAAACATAATTAAATGAATTTGTTCAGGATTTAAATGTTAAACAGAACATTTCCCAAATCTGTAATATTTAAAGAGCAAGTCACCCCCTACCAGATTCTTACTCAACTCCCACTTCCTGTTTAAAAAATGCAACAAATGCTGTTGCCTATCAGACCGAGAGGGCGGAGCCACTAACAAATACACACACACAGGCTCACAACGACATTGTGACATCATATGGTACCAGCTAACGTTCTAGGGTGCCTCTTAGCCAATAGCGATGGCAGATTTAAATTCAAATGCAGTGTAAAGTTTTTACCTGACAACAGCACAACACTGACAGTTTTAGGCAGAAAATTTAAATTTTTACTAAAATGCACTAAAGTGCAAAACTATTGACTCCACATGTCTGCAGCACGATTAGACTCGCATTTATATAGTTCATCAGAAAAAAAGTTGACTTGGGGGTGACTTGCTCTATAAGGAACGAGTGACTGCTGATTTGAACGATAAACTGAGCTGTGGTATGGACACACACACACACACACACACACACACACACACACACACACACACACACACACACACACACACACACACACACACATTCCAGACCTCTGTTAACCCTGTGACCCAGTTGTTGTTTTGGCCCAGTGTGAGTGTATATCAGCCGCTGGCCTGTGTGTGTGTGTGTGTGTGTGTGTGTGTGTGTGTGTGTGTGTGTGTGTGTGTGTGTGTGTGTGTGTGTGTGTGTGTGTGTGTGTGTGTGTGTGTGTGTGTGTGTGTGTGTGTGTGTGTGTGTGTGCTTTAAATGCCACACAGCAGTGACAGATGGAGCTTTGGTAAACCCTAACTATAATGCCAGATAATAGAGCTTGGATTTCCACACACAAGTGCGAACACACACTCGCAGACGGCTGCAGACTAGCTGGCGGATTGCTGCTTCTCTGCTTGCAAAACTCACAGCTGGCCATGTCTGTCGCCGTTTGACACCAGCAGGCCAAGTCACAGAAGCTTGTCTGAAGCTTGCATTTACCACTTCCTATGAAGCCTTTGAATTACAATGTTTGAATTTGTTTCCGATGTGTTTATTCTGGATTTCTAAGGTGACTTTAATGCCTTTCACCCTCATCTCCAGCCATGTCAGTCTTGTTTCTGTGTTGGTGTAGCTCTCAGCAGGCCTCTGCGTGTCCGTTCATGTGTTCAAGTGCACATCAGATGTCTGCAGCTTCCGCGGTTTTGAACTTTGACCGGCCAGCAGCGCTGTCGGCCATTAACAAGCCGAGAACAGCTGGCTGCTGTCTTTGAACTGACGATGTGTGTGTTTGGTGGTGATACCTGTAGGAACATGACTCTGACACAAAGGAAGAGGCTGTGTGAGGATAATGGACCCCGACAGCAATCTGCTTTTATAAAACTTGACAAGAAGTTTCCTTAAACCATTCAGGACTGACATGCTTTGCTTTTCAAATGGACCTAAAAAAGTTAAACATCGCAAAGAAGTGTGACCCAAGAAGGCCTGTGCACATAGAGAAATCCGGGTGGGGGTTGTAAAAGCGACAACCCCTACAATTATCATGCAGCTATGCATGAGGTCATACATGAGCTGAAACCTGGAAGAAAAAGCCTAAATAAACTCAGAAGTTTGGAAAAATAGACTAGATTATCATCTGCAAACATGGAAACATTCGGATTTTCCTTTTACAACAACACAGTTGGTGTATTTTAACTGGATTTTGTTTCTGTTTAGAAAGTGAGAATCTAAATTAGTCAGTCATACAGAAACAAAAAAGCAGATTAATTCATACAGTTTAGGAATATTTACTTTTAAATGTCAGTTTGGAAAGGTTATGAGCAATTATCCTCGTACTTGTTTCCTCTCTTTGGAGAAATGGTGTTTTTTTCTTAGCAGGATCAAGATAAAAGTTGATCATTTCCATCCCAAGTTAAAACAATCGCTGCTTTATAAAACCAAGTGTTCTTATTGATTTTAAGATAGACCTTTGGCCAAAGGTCACCGCGGTTCCACAGGAAATGCTACCGCTAGCTGCTAAACAAGCTAACTTTTTCATATTTCCACCGACCACTTCTAAGTCATTGTTGATTTGTAGCTTCTGTGTAGCTCATATGGTAAATGGCTTTGTAAAACCCCCAAAGGCCCTTTACAAAACATCCGGTCATTGACACACACACACACACACACACACACACACACACACACACACACACACACACACACACA